AAAAAAAAATCAAAAAATTAAAAACGTCGGCTAACTTTAATATCATCACTAAAAATATGTATTTTAAAATAACAATAAAAAAATTAAAATCACCTAATTTTAACATTGAAATATACACTTAAATAATATACTAAAACTCACACAACATTAACATTAATAATTAATGATACTAAAGTTGGCCGACATTTTTAATTTTTTTTAATAATTAAATGAGAACAAAAAAAATATTTTTAAAAAATTACACTTACAGTTTTTAAAGTTTTTTACAAGTAAAAATTTTTTTTTTATTTTTTTGTAATAATTTGTTCAATAAGAAAAATTCTAAAAATTTTTAGATGTCAGCTTACTTAATTTTCATTAATAATTATACAATTTTAATACTGTAAATTTAAAAAAATTAACTCTTAAAAATTATCACACACAATATTCACTAAAAATACACACAATATTAACACTAAAAATTCACTTAATTTATGTTAACACCATAAAATACATACACAATATTATTAACACTAAAAATTTATATAATTTCAACACTAAAGTAACACTTAATACGTAAACTACCACTTTATCATTAAAGTTAGCGCTTGACCATTTTTTTTATTATAATTGACAAATATTTGTGTTCCAAAAAATTATTTTTAAAAAATTGCATTGATGTTTTTTTTTTTTTTAATTTCTACACGTCAATTTTTTGCCATAATTGTTAATAAAAATTCTAAAATAATTTTTAAAAATATTCCGTCAAAAATTACAAAGTTATCTTTTAATCTGTTATTTTTTAAGTTGAGCATAAAGTAAAAAAAAAACCGTCCGCCATTTTGACTCTAACTAAAAATTCTATTTATTTAGACACTTGACTCTATCACAACCCTCTAACTTGCTAATTAATAATTATTTTCAGTTTTATTTCTTAAATTATTGACAAAAAACATCGGATCGCGGAATTGAGCAACGACAAATTTATTATTTCAACAGAATTTTACTAAAGCGCGAGTTTTAATGCGATACATCATCATGAGTCGGCAGTAAAGTAACCATCTTTGTCTCCTTTCTCCCACTTCTCCCACTACTGCTGCGCTTTCCGTTACTAGATGCGCGCGCATCACTTTATTGGCGTGAAATTTAAAATTTTATTGGCGCGAAATTTGAAATTATATTATTTATAATAATTTTAATAATTTAATTACACAATAATTAAAAATTAATTACAATTTTTTTAATAAAATTAATTTAAAAAACTGGTTAAATTTTTACTGATTGAAATAATTTACGCGCGTAATTTAAATTTATACTGTAGTTAAAAAATAAACAATTAGATGGCGCTGTAAATGTATTAAATAAAAATCTACTGACAGAAAAGTATATTTTATTGAGCACAAGGACTGTATTGTGTTTTATTCTGCCATCTTTGAGTTGTAATGAATTGCTTTTCGTGAAAGTGTGTGTTAATATTGACATAAATTGATATTTAAATAAAAATGGAGTTAAGTGACAGTGAGAATAGCGATAATGAGCCGATGACACCGCCGGAGCTGTCAAAAGAGACTGAAGAGTCTGCGGAAGCTGTGGAAGTTGATCCTGGACAACATACCATCCCCGAGTACTCCAGGGAAAAATATTTCAGGGCGTACGAGGTCTTCAAGGAATGGCAGCTCAAGCACGATCATGATGAAGTGACAGAGGCTGTCATGCTGGAGTTCTTTGAGGAGCTCAATGAAACCAAGAAACCCTCGACCCTCTGGAGTCAGTATTCTATGCTCAAGAGCACGTTTAACCTCAAAGAGGACCTGGACATTTCTCAGTTTAAAAAACTGCGCGCTTATTTGAAGAAACAGGGCACCGGGTTCAAAAATGCCAAGTCTAAAGTACTCTCTGCTGCTAATATTCATGATTTTTTGATCAAGGCTTCGGATTATGAATTTTTAGCGGAAAAGGTTAATTTTTTTTTATTAAAATTTATTTTGAAAATATATTTGATTATTTTAATAATTTTATTGGCGCGAAATTTGAAATTTTATTTTTTAAATTGTAATTTTTTTTTCTTACAATTATTTTAATAATTTAATTACAAAATTAATTACACAATAATTAAAAATTAATTACAATTTTTTTTAATTAAAATAATAATCATAAATACTAATTCTAAAATAATTTCCAGGTAATAATGATCTTCGGTGTAGTCGGAGCCTGCAGAAAATCTGAAATAGTCGACCTGACATTATCAGACTTAATAGACTCAGGAACAAGCCTTGTAGTGACAATCCAAGCGACTCCTAGACGCCAGATGAGAAAGTTCACCATCGACGGTGACCTCTATAACGTAATAAAAAAATACATGAACCTCAGACCTGATCACGCGAAGATAAACCGGCTGCTTTTGAATTACCAAAAGGGTAAATGTACGCAGCAGCCAATTGGAATCAACAAAGTCGGCGGGGTTCCTCGAAGGATCGCGTCTTTCTTGGAGCTTCCGGAAGCAGATAAGTACACGGGACACTGTTTCCGTCGAACTTCAGCGGAATTGCTGTCCCAGTCTGGAACCAATGTGGTCCATGTAATCGCCGGGTGGAAGGCTAACAAGACTTCCGGCAAAACTGATAATTCCCTGCAATTTTACAGCCAAATGGAGGCTAGTAATATCTTGAAGACTTGCATGTCTGACATTCAGCAACCTCAGAGTCATCCTTCGACCCAGATTATCATCAATCAGATCCCGATTAATCAGCAAGTGGGTGGTCGACAATTCCAGGTTAATCAGGGGCAGATTATTACTACTCCAAAAAGGCTGTATACTAGTGTTGGACAAATAATTAATAATGCTGGACAGCTGAATAATAGTCAAGGGCAGCAGGTTGATAATTCTGGACAGGTTGATGGAAATTCTAGTCAAGCACATTTGGATGACAATCAACAGGTTGATAGTGGTCAGAAGTCGACTGGTCAGCTTCACCGAGTTCAGGTTAATAAACAAATTAATGTGGTGCAGAAGCCTAAGGCTGCTGTTGTTAATCAACAATCTGAAGCTCCGCCTCAGGTAATTTTTGAGTTTGTTCATTATTATATATAAGGATTTTTTTTAGAAAATTTCTTGAATTTTTTATTCACGGAAAAAAGTAAACTGTAATAAATAACAGTCGATTTGTAATAAGTAATGATCAACTGCTAAAAATTACCATTTCAAACAGTAAAATCCTGATTTTACTATTCACTTTATAATATTTACCATTTAAACGTTACAATTTACTCTTTACATGGAAGAAAATACTATTTTAAACAGTAATATTCGCTATGTAAATGTCGAAAATGTTTAAGTATAATAATTAACAATTCAGACTTTGATATTTATCATTTGGTACCTAAAAAATGATCTTATGATATGTAAAAAGTATAAAATAAAGTTAGTAAATTTCTAATACAAGCAACGTCAATATTTACAAAGTAAAATGGTAAATTTTAAACACAACGCTAAAAATCAAACTGTAATTAAGGACTTGCTTGGACTGGTAAAATGTATATTTTAAAAATATAATTTTTACTGTTTCAAATGTTAAATTCTCCCAGAGTAAAACCCCCTTCT